AAACAATCCACCCGCCTCGGCCTCCCAGAGTGCTAGGATTACAGGTGTGAGCCACTGTGTCTGGCCGATAGCATTCTTTTTAAAAATCTGGGTGCTCATTACATGGGTGTACTCAATCTGTAGAAAGTCATTGACTATATACTTACGTACACGTCTCTGTACACATGTTGTACTTTGATAAAAAGTTTAAAAAATACTCTGCCTACCCAACAGCTTCTATTTTCCTTTGCTAGTTATTCTGCCTCAAAACAGAAAGAAAAAGCATTTCCGTGGCCAGATGAATTTCTACAGAAAAGGCATTTAGTTTTCCAGTGTGGATTGACCAGGACGCAGGCCACAGCTGCCTGGGCAGCCTTTTACACCTCTGCGTACTTGGAATGGTGGGACACGCCAGGGTGAACGGTGGCAGTGAAAGCCAAAGGCTCCGTCCTTCCCTACCTTCCTCGCATGCTGGCTCAGATGATTCACTCTAATTAAGTCAGTATTAATCGCTTCCCAATTAATACACAAAGATGATACTTTAGATTGTCTATTTGTTCACCCAGACAGTTACATACCAGAAGTTATAAATGTACTTGCTAAATCCAGCCATTCTCCAAACATATACACGTGCCAGAGGGCAAACTATTTCACCAAACTAAACAAGCAACAGAGAGAGCAAAGCCGATCCCTTTAGCCGCCATAGCTGGTGCAGTGACATATTGCGTAACATCGACTGCAAACTCGTTTACAACAGAGAAAAGAAACAAAATAATAAAAGGTGGTAGAGTTCCCATGAGTGACACATTTATATCTAGAGCAAACACCTTGACATATTTTACCATTGAAAAGAAAATCCTTCCATTACTTTCTAGCAATGGAATCACAGAATAACAGACAATAGAGACGCAAAAAACCTCAGATTCGGTCCAAACTCTAACCGCAACCAGAAAGACCTTTTCTTTTACAGACTAATTTGTGGATCATGAAACTGCTGCAAACAAAGAAGATGCTCAAATCACAAATTCTACCTCTCATCACCCAAATTCCCTAATACCATCAGCCTCAAAACGAGTTACCTTTCAGACATCTCTTTCCCTTCAATCCTTTTACCCTCTTCAAATCATTTGCCAGATGCTACCCACATTCGTGGCTTTCTCATCCTTTCCGAAAACCCTACCCTAATCCAGGCCCTCAGCTTCCCCACCCACCTCCACTGGGACCTGTCCCAGCTCCAGGATATCACACCCAATGGGATGCACAAACCTTCTAAAACAAGCTCTCCGATCACTGATTAAAGACCTCCGTCTTTAATCTAAGATGGCCCCAGTGGTGTACGTTTCCCTTCTCCCAGCTGTTCAATCAAGCACTAATTAGGCACTGCTGTGAAGGGATTTTGCATTTGTAATTAAAGTCCTAATGAACTGAGATTATCCAGGTGTTCCTGACCTACTTAGATGAGCCCTGAAAGGGGACAGGACTTATCCTTGGGAAGGATTTAAAGCACAACAGGGGTTCAATTTAAGGGAGATTCTCCACTTCTGGCTGTGAAGCTGGAGGGTACCAACTGGCAGGGAATGAGGGTGGCCTCTAGGAGCAGAAGGCAACCCTGCTGACAGCCAACAAGGGAATGGGGACATCAGTCCTACAACCACCAGCGAACTGAATCCTGCTGCAACCACGTCAGCTTGGAAGAGGACATAGAGCTCCAAATGAGAACGTGGCCCGACCTTGATCTTAGTGAGAACCAGTTGTGTTGTGCTCACATCTCTGACCTATACAACCCTGAGCTAATGAATGGTGTTTTAAACATGAGTTGTACTGATGCATTACAGAGTAAGAGAGAACTAATGCAGTCTTCTGCATACTTGGCCTCTACGTTTACTCAGGGCTCAGGCCACACAGATTGCTAAAGCGGTCAGATGTCCTTGGCAACATATGTGGAAGGATTTCCTCCCCTGTCCTGTTGATGTTATGCATAATAAAAAACTATTCTTCTTATAAGGGAGAGAAAATGAGAGCTCCAGAGCAATGGGGCAACAGCATGGTAGAGTGAAGGGGTGTCTGGACTGGAACAAGTTTTAACCCACCAGATCACCTCGGGCAGGTCCCCCTTGCTCTCTGGGTCTGAATTACCTTAGCTATAAAATTCGTAGGTTGGTCCCCAAGGTCTCTTCCAAGAGACCCTTTCATGGTACTTTATGGATCAAAGCCAAAACCTACTCCTCCTCTAACCTCCTGCACCTAGAAATACAACTTATCTCCGTTCTTAAGGGCTTGAGCAATTGCCTACCATGTACCAGGTGAGGGAAGATTACCCAGGATGTACAACTCTTCACCTTAGCTGACTGTGGGAGGAAGAGCAGCAGAGTGTTAGGCTGGAAGGGTCTTTGAACATCCAACCTTCTAACTACCACACTGATGAAGCTGGAGCCCAGACAGGGACCAAACTATGCTGGCTCATCTCCAGCACGCGGTCCAGGGCTCTTGCTGTAATATCCCAGTGGGAAAAAATAAAAGAGAGATCAAAAGATTAACATGCACTTGCCTATAGTTGACCAGTTAGCTCTTAAAATACCATCGCGTACTCAAAGAAAAGTAGAATAATTTTACTAATGAGTCAAAACCTAAGGGAACTGCATTGCTTAATGATACCGTACTTTATCCTTATTGTATGAGTAAAATTTGCTTGGTGAGTCAAATAGACTCTGACCTGTGCTCCAATGATTTGTGACCTGATAGTGTCCCTTTCTCTCCTTCCCCATTGGTCTGTCAGCCTCTTCCATGTATCCACCCCAATTTGAACTCTGCTATCTCACTTTATTGCACTATTAGATTCATCCTTGGAGAATAGGTTCCTTTGAAACTTGCTGAAAGATATCATTTACAGTTTCTACACATTTAGTCTTCATGCATATTCTTTCTCTGAAGATTTCATAGCTGCTACATGTGAAATATCAAAGTTGGGAACAGAGAGGAACTTAGGTACGTTGCGTTGGTTAAACTGGAGAATGGAGTGAAGGCAGAATGTGCTTCATTACAGAACAAACATACCAAACGAATTCCTTTTGGTATTCTAGAAAGTACACGTGTATCTGTATAATTTATCATTACATCTATATACCATAAAATAACTAGCTTTCCTCGATGAACTTGCTGTAACAAAGCTGGCACAAACTGAATCTAAGAATTCTGCAAAGGAACCAAGTCAGCCTTGCACGTTCCCATGAAATCCACATTAATTGTGCTCCTTCAAATGAAAAAAAAAAAACACACCTTAAAGAGATCCAGGCTTTGGCTGAAATTATTTCAAACCCAAAATATATCAGAATCTAGTAAATAAAAGCATATGTCTGATATTTTGCAGCAAAGACTTTCCAAGTTTAAAGTCCACTTATGATGTAGATAAGATTTGACTTTTCACTCTCAAGAAATGCTAATAATATGGTAGGAACATTTCGATTCTATCTAATTTGAGTCAATCATTTATTTTAATAAGATTTCATTTACAAAGTGATAAAACACATCTCAAGATATAACTGTGACTAAGATGTAACTCTGCAGAGACAAGCAGCTTGTTTCATACTTCGCTATGCCATAAACCCACAGTCCCCAACCCCTGGGCCACGGACTGGTATTGGTCAGTGGTATGTTAGGGACAGGGCCCTGCCCCTGTCCACGGAAAATTTGTCTTCCATGAAATGGGGACACGGAGGGGTGAGGTGGGTGGGCACAGCATTTCATCTGTATTTATAGCCACTCCCCATTACTCGCATCACCGCCTGAACTCCGCCTCCCCCAACTTCCGAGGAAAAACTGTCTTCCATGAAACTGGTCCCTGGTGCCAAAAAGGTTGGGGACCGCTGCCATAAACCATCTAGTGGCAGGTGCTGACAAATATTCATTGCATGTGAACGTGAGACAGACTTATGTGTACTATATAATATGCGTTTGAGTCATGAGTTACCTGGAAACTAAAAAAACTGGTCTCCAATGCCCGAGGTGCCAGAGGGACACTCACCGTCGTTTCTATCCACCATGACCGTGTGGCAAACTGCGAGCAAGAAGAAGAAGTGCTGTACTTCCCGCTCCTTCCCCGACTGGATTTGCTCAATAAGATAGTGGTCATAAAAGGCAAACTTCCCATCAGCAAACGTGTTCCAGCTAAAATCAACTTGCTGAAAGAAATGGAGGAGGAAAACAAAATATGATTTTTAAAAATTGTTTTGACTTAAACGATATGATGATTTATTCAAAGCCAAGTTCTTTAATTATACAAAAATCACCTTAGGGTTTTAGCACATTCTTAAGTGTCAAGAGGCTCACGCCTGTCTTAAAACAAAAAGGTGCCCTGTGGTGGGTTAAATCGCGTCCTCCCAAACGATACGTTGAAGTTCTAACCCCTGGTACTTATGAATGTAGCCTCACTTGGAAATAGGGTTTTTGCAGATGTCATCAAGGTAAAATGAGGTCGCAGTGGACGAATGTGGGTCCCAATCCAACAACTGGTGTCCTCACAAGAGGGAAATGTGGACACAGACACACAGGGAGAACACCACGTGACAACAGAGGCAGAGATGACACCGTGGCGTCTGGACATCTACGAGCTAAAGAGCACCCAGGATTGTGGGCAACCACTGCGAGAGAGGAAGAGGCAAGGACGGAGGGATCCTTCCTCAGAGCCTTCCAAGGAAGCACCGCCCTGCCGACAACCGATTTCCCTGGCGTCTCAGACAATTCTTTAAGGACTTACGTCTATTTTGTTATGATTGTGTTGCGAAGCATCCCGATGGTCTCCTGAGAAGCAAACAGGACAAAACAAACTGAGTCTCCACCTGCGTCCAGAGGCCCCTCCCCACCTGGCCTTGCTAACACGGTGGTGGTGACCACAGGGCGCTCACAGCCTGTTTTTAGACAGTCCTCGAGTTAACAATGGTTTTTACGTTTTTTCGAGAGTTATTAAAAAAGAATATTTGATAAGGACTACACACAACCTGCCAAGGCTAAAATATCTCCTATCTGGCTCTTTACAGAAAGTTTGCCGCCACCTTCTCTAGATGTTCAAATGCTAGGGCATGTCCCCCTGTCCTCCTGCCACCTCCTCAGGGGCTTGAAGCACATCCTTTGAAATGCTTTGCTGCCCCCCACTCAGAAGAGACTGCTGCCACACATGCGAGCCACTTCCTCAGCCCCTCGGTGTCCCACCTTTCTCACTGCTGCTCCTTACGTGAAAACATGCTCACAGTACACTTCAAGTGGAGGGTACTTATGTGTGTGTCTGTATCTTTGTAAAAATTACAGTCAAATACACATAAAAAAATTTACTTTTTTTAAGAGATAGGATCTTGCACTGTTGCCCAGGCTGGAGTGCAGTGGCCCTATCATGTTTCAAGATTTGTTAAAAAAGAACAATATTTGATAATATTCACTGCAGTCTTAAACTCCTGGGCTTAAGCAATCTTCCCGCCTCAGCCGCCAGAGAAGCTGGGCCTACAGGCATGCACTACCACGCCCAGCTAATTTTTAAATATTTTGTACAGACAAGATCTTGCTGTGTTGCTCAGGCTGGTCTTAAACTCCTGGCCTCAAGTGATCCTCCTGCCTCAGCCTCCCAAAGTGCTGGGATTATAGATGTGAGCTACCTTGGCCTGGCCAAAATTTACCATTTTAACCATTTTTAAGCATACAGTTCAGTGGCAGTAAGTACAGTCACACTGTTGCACAACTGTTTCACCTTGCAAAATTGAAATTCTGTACCCGTTAAACAATAACTCCCATTCCCCTATCCCCAGCCCTTGGTAACCACCATTCTACTCCATCTCTGTGAATTTGACTATTCTAAGTGTCCCACATAAGCAGAATCACACAATATTTGTCCATTTGCGACTGGCTTATTTCACTTAGCATGATGTCCTTAAAGTTCATCTGTGTTGTAGCATGTGTAAAAATTTCCTTCCTTCCTTTGACTGAATGACATTCCATTGTACACACGTACCACACTTGTTTATTCATTCATCCATCAATGAATGCTTGGGTTGCTTCCATCTTTTGGCTGTTGTAAATAATGTTGCTATGAACATTAGAGGTGTATCAAACACCTCTTTGAGTCCCTGTTTCAATGCCTTTGAGTGAGTATATACCCTGAAGTGGAATTACTGGATCCCAAGGTAATGCTATTTTTAATTTTTTGAGGAATGTGAGCTCATTTTTGATGCTGACCTCCCCCATGCACGTGTCCCCGGTGCCTTCCACAATGCTCCTCTGGCCTTCCACCAAGGAGTGACCAGCAGCAGCAGGACTCTGTATGGGGAGGGCACCAGTAACTCCTCGCAGGCAGGCCCCAGCCCAGGCAGTGCTCTGCACACAGCAGGGAGCCCCCTCCTTCAGGAAATGCCTCACGGCTTCCACTCACCATAGATCTGCCCGTTGATGCAGCACTTTTTAAAGGTCATGATATTTTGTGTGAGTGTCCCCGTCTTATCAGAGAAGATGTAATGGATCTGCCCAAGCTGCTCATTCAGCGTAGTGGTTCTAGCCTTTGCGGGTGTGTCCTTCTCAGAATAGTACATCTGCAGGTCCCAGTTTATGAAGTGACTCTGTCCGAGACGAATCACTTCCACGCTAGGAAGACAAAAGATTACTTTCTACAGAGAGCTCAGATACGAGTGGCAGGTGCTGGGTTTGATCATCACTTGTGCAGACAGGAGCATGTCTACCGCTATGGTCTGAATGTTGGTGTCCCCCACCCCCAATTCATATGTTGAAGCCTAATCCCCAATGCAACAACACTTGGGGGGTGGGGAGGCTTTAGAAGGTGATTAGCTCTAGAGGGCCCCGCCCTCATGAATGGGATTAGTGGCCTTATCAAAGTGGCCCAAGGGAGCTTGTTTGCCTTTCTGCTTTGTGAGGACATAGCAAGAAGGTCCCATCTACAAAGTAGAGAGCCAGCCATCACCAGATACCAAATCGGCTTTGATCTCACACTTCCTTGCCTGCAGAACTGTGAGCAGTAAATTTCTGCAAGTTACCCAAGGCTAAGTTCTTCTGTTATAGCAGCCCAAATAAACCAAGACATCTGCACTGAGACAAGCCATGCTATGGCCCATGCACTCAGCCTCTGGGTTCTCCTGACTAAACACACAATTCTCCAGCTTCAAGGTCGAGATGATTCTAGACTAGTAGTTTCCCCCCAAAGTGCCACTCACTCCTGAGCACATCTGGCCACAGCACCCCCTGTTCAGAACACAGAGCCCAGAAGAATGGGTGACACAATAATGCTGCAGACAGAGCCAGAGGATGCAGCAAGCCCGACTCTCTTTCTCTAGTTCCCTGCTGCACCCAGGGGCAACTGGAATGGCTGCATGTACCTCCGCCCCAGTGGGAGGGCAAGCGGGTGAGGGACCACTAGCTTACAGCCCCTACCGTGCTCTTAAATAGGGCAAAAGGCTTTTGGCAAATATCCCTAAATCATGATCCCACACTGTGAAAAAGCATATTTTAAAAAAGAATTCTTATTAGGTTATGGATGTCCAAAATAAGATATTCATTTCAATTTTAAAACTATAAGGGATTAAATATATCCCAGTTATAAAGAAACTGTTTACACGTCCAGCAACTGTTAAGTGGGCAAAGGATGCCTTTATAACAAATTAGACAGATGGAAAAATAACTCTCTCCCTCCCTCTCTCCTTTCAGTATTTCCTGCGTGCCTACTGTGTACCAGACACCATTCTAGGTTCAAGGGCTATGTCAGTAAACTAAACAGACAACATCGGTGCTCTCAAGGAGATTACCTTCTATTGGAGACAGATGAATAAATAAATCAGTAAATTGACAGTACATTAGGGGGCGAAAGTTCTCTGCAGAGAACCAAAGCAGGGTAAGGGGAGATGGCGATCAACAGGCAGGGGTAGTGAGGTTAGAGAGGAGTGGCTTGGGACAGGTCAGGGGATAAGATGCTATCTGAGTAGAGGCCTGCAGGTAATGAAGGGGCAGCAAGTAGCTATCTCTGGAAGGATGTTCCAGGCAGAGATAAGAGTACATGCAAAGGCCCTGTGGCAGGAGGAATATCAAGGGGGCTAGAGTGGTGGGAACCCAGGGAGGTGGGTGGTGGTACAGGAAATATGGGCAGGGCATGAGCGCCAGATCACACTGGGCCTTGTGGGTGACAGTGTGGCCTCAGTGTGTCTATTCTGAATGAGATCAAAAGCCACTGTAGGTTTGAAGACAAAGCAGAGATACTATCTGGAAAGACTGATCCAACATCCTTTCAAAGGACCTTTATTTCCAA